CTTCCGATCTCCCCAAAACCCCAAAACCCCAAGACAATTGATATAATTAAAGATTGAAGAATTCAGATAAATTGAAATGAATTCATTAAAAAGTGAATAGAGAGACATTAAATTTTCACTTGTATCAAGCTGATCTGCTCAGAAGATATGCTTTTTAACAAAGAACTTTCTTAGATTTATGACAGAGTATGCTGCTACACCAATAACCAATATAATCTGTACTGAGATAAGATTGAAGAAGCTGCCTGAAAGAGACTCTAATTTTTACTTATATTCTTGCTCTCTTTCTCTCTCATAGTCTTGATGAGCAATTATGTCATCTATGACTTTGTCGATCTTGTCGACTCTTCTAGTTATTGGCATGAATTATCCCTAGGTGGCTGCTGATTAATATTATATTTACTTTTCAATTTCCTTTTTGCTTACTTGTATGTAATCAGCGTTGCTTGTGTTTACTATGGTATAGATTAGCTTGAGGTTTGCATTTGATAAAGATCTTACATTTGTAATACTCGTTAGAGTATTTGAGGATAACCTTAACTTGCTTCACATCATGCTTGAGATATGTTTGCTCAGTGATCAATAGACACAACTTAAATTCACCACCTTATAATTAATAAAAATTAGAATTCTCAAAGTAATGAGGGATAATTACTGATTTAGACAATCAAAACACATAATAATATGTGAAGACTTACTTATGTTAGACTTATGGGTGATAAGTTCATCTGATTTAGCTAGCTTAGTCAACACAACTTTATTCTCAGGGTCCTCTAAGGTAAAGTATATTCCCTCAGTAGGGTTATTCTTCATATAAGTCTTTATCTCATTGTCGACTACTGTCACGTGTGCTTAGATTTCCTATTATAGACTTATTAACCCTCCTTCAGATCATATTTTGTTTTATACTTACAGAATTTCTTAATAATTCGTCCTTAAAACACTTTATCTCTTTATGGGCAACGTAGAAATAGAGTCCATTGGCATACTAAATCATAGTTAGAGCGCATAGTAGAAGAGATATGCTGATAGTTTTTGCGTTCATTTTGAGGTTTTATATTTTCATTATCAAATTTATTGATAGAAGATTATTAATATATATTATATCTATTTATTTATCTTAATGTTTAATTTGAAGTTTAAAGTGAGGGGTTTTGGGGTTTTGGGGTTTTGGGG